AATTATTCCAGGACGACCACAATACTGGCAGCATAGTGGCTTTCAATCTGTTGAAGGTTTCCTCATGAGAATCTACCACACCAATCAACTGCTACATTCTCTTTTTGTTGTAGCAACTCTTCTTTCGCTGTGCCGTGGTGATCTAAACTCAGACAAACAAGCCCTTCTTGACTTTGCTGCAGCAGTCCCACATGGCTGGAAGATCAACTGGGATCCTGCCACTCCTATTTGCTCATCTTGGGTAGGCGTTACTTGTAGTAATGATGGAGCCCATGTGGTGGAAGTACGACTTCCAGGAGTTGGACTCATTGGTTCACTTCCAAAAAATACTTTTGGGAAGATGGATAGCTTAAGGATTATCAGCCTTCGATCCAATCGTCTCAGTGGAAACCTTCCTTCCGCTATCACTTCACTTCCTTCTCTCCAATTCCTGTTCTTACAGCAAAATAACTTATCTGGACCTATTCCTTCTTCTCTTTCAAATAAACTGAATGTTTTGGACCTATCTCATAATTTCTTCACTGGAAAGATACCTGAAACAATTCAGAATTTGTCTCAGCTAACAGGTTTAAGCCTCCAGAATAACTTGCTTTCTGGACCCATACCCAATATTACTCTTCCAAGGCTAAAACATATTAATATAAGCCACAACAATCTTAATGGTTCTATTCCATTATCCCTCCAAAAGTTTCCAAATTCCTCCTTTGTGGGGAACTCACTCTTGTGTGGACTACCCTTAAATCCTTGTTCACCTGTTCTACCACCATCCCCTCCTTCCCCTTCCCCTTCCCCACCTGCACCCTCCCCAAACACTCAAGAAAAAAGTTCAAAAAAGAAACTTAAACTAGGAGTTATTCTTGCTATTGCTGCTGGAGGGGTTGTGCTGGTCTTGCTGCTAGTTGTGATCCTCGTTTTGTGCTGCCTGAAAAGAAAAAGGGGTGATGGCAGAGGTGTGCGGAAAGGGAAATCTCCGGGTGGAGGAAGGAGTGAAAAACCGAGGGAAGAGTTCGGTAGTGGGGTGCAAGAACCTGACAAAAATAAGCTTGTTTTCTTTGAAGGCAGCTCTTACAATTTCGATCTCGAGGACCTATTGAGGGCCTCAGCTGAAGTGCTAGGAAAGGGGAGTTTTGGAACTGCTTATAAGGCTATTTTGGAGGAGTCATCAACAGTGGTGGTTAAAAGACTAAAAGAAGTCATTGTGGGGAAGAAGGACTTTGAACAGCAGATGGAAATTATTGGTAGAGTTGGACAGCATCCAAATGTGGTTCCTTTACGTGCTTATTATTACTCCAAGGATGAGAAGTTACTGGTGTATGGTTATTTCTCAATGGGCAACTTGTCAATGCTCTTGCATGGTAAGGCATCATATGCTCTCATCGTCATTTCCTTTTTCTATTTCTAGCGTTTGGTGGAGTAACTTGATTCACTCTTTGTGATTGAATGCCTGATAGTAAGCTTCTAACACAATACAAAATGCACTCAAGTAATGTCCTAAACGAATCTAAACAATGTGAGTTTGAACTTTTAAACTTGTGAACTGGTGTGAAAAGAAGCATTCTTTCTTGTAGCTTATTGTAAAGTTAGAGAAGAAAAAGTCTTCTTTAGAATATATGCATCAGTTTGATCTTTATAGGTCTATTATATGAGTATAAACAGCTCTTATGTTATTCTGTATCTATTGTTTCTGTAGCAACATATTGACACTTGCTGGCTTTCTTTTTCTTATCACTGGTAGTTTATTGCTCGCACTATCTTGCTGTTTGTCTAACTGGAAAGCTGCTAGTGCTGAAGAATTTCATGTATGATATACCTATTATCTATCCTGGAAGACTACACCAGAAGTGAATTCATCTTCATTCACTAACCTGCATAAACTTATCAATGTTAAGTATACTGCCAATGATGTTACGTACTGCTGATATTTCTGTTCTCTAACCCTATCAAACCCCACTATCATTTAGGAAACAGGACTCCGGGAAGGACTCCATTGGACTGGGAGTCGAGAGTTAAAATATCTCTTGCAGCAGCAAAGGGTATTGCCCACATCCATTCAATGGGTGGTCCAAAATTTACTCATGGAAATATAAAGTCCTCAAACGTCCTACTCAAGCAAGATATGGAAGCTTGCATCTCAGATTTTGGTTTAGCCCCTATAATGAACTTCCCTGCAGCCCCATCTCGATATCCAGGGTACCGTGCTCCTGAGGTGATAGAAAGCCGAAAGCATAGTCATAAATCAGATGTCTACAGCTTCGGTGTCTTACTACTCGAGATGCTTACTGGTAAGCAGCCTATGCAATCACCAGGGCGTGATGACATGGTTGACCTTCCTAGGTGGGTCCAATCAGTTGTCAGGGAGGAATGGACGTCAGAGGTTTTTGACGTCGATTTGATGAGATTTCAAAACATTGAAGAAGAGATGGTACAAATGCTGCAAATTGCTATGGCATGTGTTGTAAAGGTCCCGGACATGCGACCCAACATGGAGGAAGTTGTTAGAATGATTGAAGACGTCAGGCAATCTAACTCCGAAAACAGGCATTCTTCAGAAAGAGAATAGATCCTATGATTCAAATGTGCATATTCCTTGGATTTCTGACTTGCAATTTGTAAGTCCTGTGAAATTCATTCGATTCGATTACCCAGTGCAACAACATACATGTTTTCTTTCCCTAAATTTTCTGATTCAATCCTATTGACAAGTGTATCTAGGAAAGTGTGGATTTGTTTTCCTTAGGAGATATAGTAGACAAGTTAATCATCTTCCTTTTTCTTTTCGTTTAAGAACTCTTGTCATTTGTTGTAAGATTCAATCTGCACTGCACTTATTAACATCTGATTTATGCAACATGTCGAAGCAATTCATTTGCTGTGTGTTTGGATTTTGGTGTGAAATCATTTTTATGGCATTCAAACACCAAGTAATTTATAAATTCTAGTGAGTACTGTATATTGAAATCGTTTATTTATACTGCCATGTGTTTTTATTTGTAAATATAATATGTTACACATTTCTATCACTAATTATGCAACTAGTCAAATAGAAAGTAGTTATAGTATGCATTGGCGTCTCCTTTTTTTTCTTCTTATTGTTTGCGTGACACAAAGTTGGAACCACAACAATTGAACTTCACATCACAAACATAGAATTTGAACTATAAAATTCGAACTTCATATTTCTGAAGTTTAAACTATAAAATCGAACTTCATAACACTAACACTAAAAGTTGATAATCATAAAGCTCGAATCGCAAAACTTAACGACACTGGAAAAATTAGAGGCAATATTTTTTTCCCGCTTTTTAATTAATGGCTAAACATTAAATAATTTATAAATTGGCTAAAATTCAAATATTGGTCCTAAAAGTGGTTACCTAGTGTTAGGGGTGTACAAAATCGAACCGAAAACCGAACCAAACCGCAAATCGAGTCAACCCGAAAAAAAAACTCGACTAGTGGTTTGGTTTGACTTGGTTTGGTTTTGAAAAAAAAAAATCGACTATATTTGGGTTGGTTTGGTTTTAACTAAAAAAAACCAACCCGAGACCAAACCAACCCGAATTTATATATATAATTTTAAAATTTTATTTTATACATAAAAATATTTACTTTGATATAATTTTAAAATATTTCTTATACTTTTTCATAGTTTTTATCTTTTAATATATTATTTCAAGTTTGAAACTTAGAATTATGAATGGGCTTTATAAATTTAAAAATCTGACACAAATGGTTTGGTTTGATATTTGAAAAACCCGAACCAACTCGGCTATGTACTCCCCTACGTTTAGTCATGTAACTAATACTTATTAAACTTATTTTAGCATGATTTAGTACTCTTAAATCATTATGACTTAATAATTTGTAATATTTGTTTTGCGCGTTTCATTATTATTTTTTTGTTGGATATTTTAGTGTCATTAATCATATCATATTGTGTTATATTTTTAAGAAACATCTTAGATAGTTGTATTTTGGTAGGACTAAAGAAATATTTGAAGTACAAGTAAATTATATGGTTTGTATGAATACTTTACTGGAAAAACCCGAAACAATCCGAAAAACCCCGAGGTTGAAAAAGCCGAGTTTTATTGATTTGGTTTGGTTTATAAATTTAAAATCCGACACAAATGGTTTGGTTTGATATTTGAAAAACCCGAACCAACTCGGCTATGTACTCCCCTACGTTTAGTCATGTAACTAATACTTATTAAACTTAATTTTAGCATGATTTAGTACTTTTAAATTATGATCATTTTTATTATGACTTGTTAATTTGCAATATTTGTTTTACGCGATTTCATTATTATTATTTTTGTTGGATATTTTAGTGTCATTAATCATATCATATTGTGTTGTATTTTTAAGAAACATCTTAGATAGTTGTATTTTGGTAGGATTAAAGAAATATTTGAAGTACAAGTAAATTATATGTTTGTATGAATACTTTACCGGAAAAACCCGAAACAACCCGAAAAACCGAAAAATCTGAAAAAACCCGAGGTTGAAAAACCCGAGTTTTATTGATTTAATTTGGTTTATAAATTTAAAAATCCAACACAAATAATTTGGTTTGATAATTAAAAAACCCAAATCAACTCGACTATGTACACCTCTACGGGCTAGTGCCAATTCTACAAGCTATGTGCACATTATGACTTCAGTAGACTATTCTGCAGCCTTGCTTCTGGGCCCCACTATAAAATATGGTTACGAATAGCATTTCGTATACGTAATGTAGAAATAATATTTATTTTCTCCATTCCAATTTATATACATTAGAAATAATATTTATTTACTTATAAAATAGCAGATTGTTTGAATATTTTTTAAAATTTATAAATTATAAATATTTATTCAGCTATAAAATGGAGTAGATATTTTAAAATTAAATAGTTAAATATCTCATTTTTTTGGAATGGACTAAAAATGAGTGTGTTGTATAAATGGTAACAGAGTGAATGTTGTTTTCTATTTCTTCCATAGGATTGGCTCAAAACCTAATCCGAGCTCTGCAAATCTCCATTCAATTGTCTTCCACATCTTCCTCCTCTTAATTCAGGTATTTTTCTGCATATTATTGTTAATTAAGAATATCTAGGATTTTCCGCATGAACAATCCATTAGATCTCGTAGTTTTATCTGTTTGAGTTATTATAAGCTTCAGTTTTGTAATTCTGTGACCTTAATTTGTGTGTGTAACTGTTTTCTACTTTACTTGAATATGGAGATCTGTGGATTTTGATGAAAAAATTGTAATAATAATTGCTTAGGACTTGGATTTGAAGGTATACGGGCTGAATTATGGCATCGAAGCGCATATTGAAGGAGCTTAAGGATTTGCAGAAGGATCCTCCCACCTCATGCAGCGCTGGTATGTCTGCTGTAATTCCTATTTTTGCCTTCCACTTCTGGTTGCTGAACTTATGTGCTAGGTTTGTTAGCTGAAGACCAATAATTAGGTCAGCGTGGTTGAATTTCCGATGTTTTCTGCAGTTTTTGTTTTGCTAATGCTTCTAGTTTAGAACAAGTCTGATTTAGTAGTTTGCTGAACCTATTTTTTGGTTTCTGTACTAGCAGAATTGCATGATTTAAATGTCTGTTTCTGTAAAAATTAGTGGCATTAGCCCCCGGTGGTAGCCTAGTTGTCCAAGAGCTGAGTTAGAGTAAATATGTTAGCATCCAAGATTCAAATCTCAGTAGAGGTGAACTAGGTGAATCACTCCCATTTGCCTATGCTTTGGTGGATAAGGTCATACGATACATATACTAGTTGGAGGTAGCTGGTATCGTTGGTGTACTCAAAAGTGTCTGTTAGCAAGCTTGGACACTAATGTTATGGAAAAAACATTATTGGTATCATTAGTAGGTTGATCCGTTACGAGTTAACAGCAGCTGAATGCAGATTTGGTTCTCTTTTTATTTTATTTTTCGAGTTTTACTTTTGTTATATGATAGTGGTGTCCGACCAGCTTGTGTACAACCCTGGTTGTATTGCATCTTTATATTGGTTTCTCTTTCTCACTTCTGAGAATTTAACATTCAATATATGGCTCTCTGAAGATTGTGAATGTTACTTATAATTGTCTATCAAATTTCTGTATCATTCTTTGTTGTACTTCTCCTAATGCATATTTTGTCATTTGTCTGATGAGGAATTGTTTTTTCTCTTAGATTTAGGTGCTGAGTGTGATTATACATTTGTTAAAGTGGGTACTTTAATCACATGGCTGTTATGTCGATATTAAATAGCATATTTTGTAAAATACAGGTCCAGTGGCTGAGGATATGTTCCATTGGCAAGCAACAATCATGGGGCCTACAGATAGCCCTTATGCAGGAGGTGTATTTTTGGTCTCAATCCATTTCCCTCCTGATTATCCTTTCAAGCCTCCAAAGGTATGCCTATGCTCTACAGCATCCTTGTCCAGATCTGTGTCTGTTCCTTTACATTCTTTATTGTTATAAGCTAGAGAGTATCAGTTTGCATGAATTTAACCAAATACAAAGGAATCAACTGAATGCATCACAAATATGTGCATATAGGTTTCTAAGAATAATTTTCGTCTTTTCATGAAATCAGCAGGAACTTTCATGAATGACACCTCACCTGCTTAGCTGTGTCCATATAGAATTGAATGATATTAAAGTTCAAATTACTGCCTACTTCGCCATCTCTGGTTTTTATTTACAGTAGAATGTAAAGATCACATTGGCATGCTTCCATCAGCGCTGAAAAGACAGCATTGAACGAGAAGAAATCTAAGGCAAGGCTGGTGATGTGCCACTGTGTTGAAGGGTCAGACAGAACGCTAGCATTAAAAATGCTGACATTTGTTTGTCAGCGTGGTTTTTTGATTTACATACCACAGAGATAAGACCACAGACTTACATGGTGGAATACACTCAAAATTGACAGATAGTTTCATATCCCTTTGGAAAGTTTCAGGAAGTCTTGGATACTAGTTACGACTGCTTGTAACTTCCTTATGATCTTTCCCCACTACTTGAAATGACATTTGAAGTTTTTTGTTGAGAAGTTTATGTTTTCTCTGCTCTCTTATGTTCTGGTGCTAAAGTGAGCTGGTACTTCAGGGTGCTGTTCAAGATTATAGCTGAATCATCATGGGCATTAAATCTTTTTATCCATTTTGTTTTGTCATGCCTATAAGTATGCTAGTCTTTTACACCAGAGAGTCCGCACAACATAATGTAGAAGATGGCTGGCGTTTGTTTGCTGTTAGATTAGTTTTACCTTCATGGTGGTTCTGTAGGTTCTAAGAATTTTGTTTGTTTCAGGCACTGTTTGAAATTTGCAGAATGAGTTCTTCTCTGCCAATTCTGAGAATGTGTTTGATTAATAGTTGTCGACTAGTTTTGTGGTGATGAGACAAGGCTGATCTTTTTATTGTTTATTTGTTTCAGGTTGCATTTAGAACTAAGGTTTTCCACCCTAACATCAATAGCAATGGAAGTATATGTTTGGATATCCTTAAAGAGCAATGGAGTCCGGCTTTGACCATATCTAAGGTTTGTATCTTGGTCTTTGTTTGTGTCCCGATTAAATGTTGCTATATTTTTTTCTGGTCTTAGATTTCTTGATGAAGGTGAGTCCTAGCCAGAGTCTAGATTTAACAAAATGATGATGATGGCGGATGATTTGGTGGAGATGGTCGACTTTTGTTATGTATTGTTGTCCAGACTTGTTGAGTTTTGATCTCCTCTCTCTTTATAATTAAGGACTTTGAGGCATTGGAATCATGGCTCGGTAGGCCAAACAATCTGACCTGGAGTATATTTAGTTAAAAAAGCTTTATGTCAATATAAATGAATGTGAGAGCTGTGATTGGCAAGTTATACTGTGGCTTTACTAATGTGATAGTGCTCTGGAAATAGGGTGGTTTAGACTGGCATGTTTGTATTTGAAGAGAGAATGCGAGCAATAATGCCAATCAGAAGGAAGGATAGAGTAGAAGAGGAAAGAACAGTAACTAAACATTATCATGACTTGTTTCAACTTAAAACAGTAACTATACAACAACATACCCATTATAATCTGTGTAGGATCTGGGGAGGGTAGAGTAGAGTATATGCAGACCTTACTTCTACCTCAAAGGTAGAGAGGTTGTTTTGACCCTCGACTCAAGGAAAAGTAGTCCAGAAAAAAGTAACAGAAGTCAAAAAGATATTTATTAATAAAGAGATATCTATCATACTATGCCCTTCAAAACATGCTTGCCTTAAATAACATATTTGTTATTTTCCTTTTCTCCAACTGTCAGATGTCAAGCAGCACCTTAGCAAGTATGATTCCATTTAGAATAAAAGAAAGGAAAGTGAGGGGAAGTATCATGCTCATTTCTTTAATAAAGAAAGTCAAGTGTGATATCTTTTGACATTTAGGCTCCTATTATATAAGTACTTACTTTATTATTGTCTGATGCAATGACTAGTCCTTCTCACTTGCTTCTGCTAAATCTTTGGTAGAAATTAGGTGAACTACTTATGGCACATTTTGTCTCTCTGTCTTCCCTTTTCCCTCTAGTTGATGTTGATGCAGATGATTTATTTATGTGAAAGATAATTTAGTGGTAATATTGAGCTGTTACTGCAGTAAAATCTTTTGAGCAATACCTGCCACTTTAGATTGCTCTTTTTGCTCCAGAAATGGTATTCCTACAACTCTCATATAATCAACTAATTCGATTCTTCTATTTTATGTTCTTTGTTTTGCTTGATGTCCTCTTGTTTGCATGTTTCTATTAAACTATCCAAAATGTGATGAGAATCAGTTTATGTACCAAGTCACCACTAAACCTTCTGGAAAAAGGGCGAGGGAAAAGATTCTGTTGTGTGTATGTCTTATTTTTCAATTGTCTTTTGGATTTTGTCTCACGCTGCTATTTTATGTTTTAGGTCCTGTTGTCCATCTGCTCTCTATTGACAGATCCAAACCCAGATGATCCACTTGTACCAGAAATTGCTCATATGTACAAGACTGACAGGGCCAAATACGAGACCACTGCTCGTAGCTGGACTCAAAAATATGCGATGGGATAACGGCAAGATTGTCCTCGGGTGTGTCTGAGACACTTTTAATTTCAACTAATTCATTTTGCTTTCACTCCTAAATGCAATGTCTTCATTGTGCTTTGGATGAAAGAACAAAATGTTGGTAAGGAAATCAGTTTACATAGACTCCGATCATGTCAAGGTTGTCAAGACCGAGATGTTTCAATATGTGAATATCTATTTGTTGAATTTTGTGAGGGGAGAACCTGAAATGTAATTTTACTTTGCTCCTTCCTAAGTTTCTTGTATGGGTGCTATCTTTTGAGTGGCAAAAATTCCAATGATTAAACAGCAACTATTCTCTGTATGAGACCATTTTCCTGTGATCTGTTATGTTATAAGTTGTGCAAAGCAGGTTCTTGAAAATCTGTGTAGGTAGCTAACGATGGCTCGCTGCCCTCTTCCATGAGATAAGTTCTCCCTTGTATTTTGGTCTTCAAAATTTGACTGTTTCCTTCATGTGTGTGGAGATATCGGGGACTCTGGATTCAAGGCTTTTGGTCATGTCGTTTTAGGACAGCTTCAGCCTGCAAGAGGTGCTGACGATTCGGGTGAGGCTAATTAATGTGATGGATTGAGCAGATGATTCTAGAAAAGTGGGAACCACCGTCTGCAGGACGTAAGGGCGACTGACTCTAATGCACACTGAGGTCATTATCTGAACCTTGGGAATCGTTTACTTATGAAGTTATTGTGCTAACTTTCTTAACGCATCCCCTCAATTTCGTGAAGAGGTAAGCACACGATAAGCAGTGTGTCAATAAACCAATTGTAAGTATGCGGCTGGTGTCCAATAGTAGTTATTTTTGGAAGAGTAGTTTGTTCTCTGTGTAAAAGTTTTGCTTGTGTATGGATCACTTTCGAGAAGGGGTCAAAAGTATGGAGGTGCAATTAGGAAGCTCCAGATGTTAGAGTTGCATTATTTTGAGGTGAAATTTGTCTGTTAGTATAATTGAGTTGGAATTTAAAAATAAATAAATAAATAATTGAGTTGGAATTAGAAGGGGTAGGCTGATTGTGCAAGAGTGGGTTAATAAAGAAAACTATTTGTGCAAATGATTATCACTTGGTTTACAAGCAAACAAGTCTTTTCAGCCTATAGATTAGATTAACGTGCCATACTATCAGGCCTTCTTCTTTTTGCTTCTTTTTCAAGTTAAACATTTCGATTGTTTTTCTTGATGAAAGACATTTGATGCTTAGTTTAACTCGTGTCAATTGTGTGAAACACACAGTTAAAATTTCCGTACGTATTATATGCTAGATAAAAACTGTTGCCTAAAGAGAATAGCTTCTTTTTAGCTTTCTCATGGATTTGCAGTTGAAGACAAGGTGCGTCAACTTCGCAATAGTTTCCTCCTATTATCTCTAATACTTTTGTGGACTGATATGAAGCCTTCATTATAATTATGAAAGGGAAAAGACTCAAATATGTCATCAAACTTTGAAGAAAAGGTTAATTTATGTCATCCATTAAAAGTTTGGTTCATTTATGCCATTTCCATTTGAGAAAAGACTCATTCATGTCATTATTTGTTAACTGAAATAACATAGATGAGCCATTTTTTTAACATGTGGTATAAGTGATTTTTTTTCTCAAAGTTGGATGACATATTTTAAGCCTTTTCCCTTTTAAAAGACGATTTAATTAATGACGTGGTTGAATCATAATTGATCACATGTAAAAAATGGTTTTGCAAAACTAGAACTATTTTCAATTAACAAATAATGACACGAATGGGTATTTTATCAAATGGAAATGACATAGATAAGCTGAACTTTTAAAGATGAGCCAAACTTTTAACGGCATAGATATATCTTTTCTCAAAATTCAATAACATATTTGAAGCTTTTCCCACTATTTAAAAGGAGGCCCTTAACTCATTATAGAACCTCAAAGAAATCGTAGAGAACCAATGGAGGCTTCCTTGCAATTTCGTATTCCAAAATCAAGAGAAAATTGTGCAAAGTTAGGTAAAAAGCAAAATGCAAGTCCAGAGACTTTCTGCTATGTATAAATACAAAGAAAAGAAAGCCGGGGCTGCCGGGTGTGGGGCTGGGGGTGTTTGACATGTCTAAAATCACCAGCTGTAAAGAAGATCCCCTCTTGTTTTTAGTAAAGTATAAAACTAAAATTTTTACTTCTTCCATTTTAAATTTATGTAACGCTATTTGATTGGACACATAACAAAAACATAAAAAGATATGTACCGTTTGAAATAAGACTTAAATATTATGTGACTATGATAAATTATCTCAATAAACATAAATGAGAATTTTAAAGTCGAGTTAAGTTATTTTTTAAATATACGAAAAATGACATTCTTTTTTAGACAAATTAATAAAACTTGTCACATATATTAAGACCAAGAAGATCCTATACCCATTTGGTGGAACACTCTGCGTTTTAGTCCACTTGCACTACACTTCTCTACTAGTTGCAAACTTTCTCTTAAAAATATTGAAGTTATCTATAGAACATGTTCAAATAACCTAACATGAAAAATCAGATAGTTAACTAACTGAACTATTAAAAAATTTCAAAATTCATGGCTATGTGGAATAGAACCCTTTAACCTCTTTCAACTTAAAGACTCAAATTGATAGACAAGGCGTATTTTTTTTACTCATCTCTGAAACTTTCATAGTTCTTACTTTTTTAATGACTCAAACATATATACTTCCTCAAGTTGGAAGGTAAAGAGTGCTTATTGACATCCACGGAAGGAAGTTTGACATGGTAATAGATAAAAACATAAAACAAAAGCATATATGTATAGTATACTTTAAAATTATATTTAGAGAAAAGACATAAAGTGACACATGAAGTTGTTCTGAATTTTCAAAAAGACACCTAAACTATGCAAGCGTTCTATTACCCCTAAACAATCTTGAACTGATATTATTACATCATTTTTTGTCCATCTAGCATGGAGAGTGTATGCACTCTCTTAAAGAGCGCGAACAAACTAAAAAAATGAATATAATTATATTTTTACAAGTATTTTGCTATAAAATATATTTTCTTGTTTTTCTTATTATTTTAACTTTTTCTCCTTATTATTTTTGTCTTTTTCTTTATTCTTCCTTCTTCAAAAATCATCTTCATTGTAGCTTCTCACTTTTAGTGTCACTTTTTACCATAACTCTACTACCCTTTTTTACTACTATTAGTTTAACTCTCTTCAATTTTAAAATTATATCTAAATATTTTATTACTTTTCGTAACAATTTGATAAACCCATTAGATTTCAAGATGATTAGTAGGTATTATTTAGTTTTTTATCCAAATTTCAATCAAATCTTTTCAATTTTCGGAGAATCCCGATTCTTTCAAAAATTATCATTTCTAGTTTTGAAGTTATATGAAAATGAGATAAATTAATTGATGATACCTTCAAAATTTTGATTTTTCTTATAAAAATAATTAGTTTTGTTATTTATAACTCAACAAAGTCTAGAAAATAGTATAATTTTGAAAAGAAAGGAATTTGACCGAAGAAGAAGAAGAAAAAAGAAAGAAAATGGAGGGGCTCATCTTGACGTGAGGGTGGGATGAGGTGAGGGTGAGAGGTGAAGAAGAAGAAAAAAAGAAAAAAAATGGAGGGAGGGATAGCTTGAAAGTAGAGGTGAAAGATGAAGTAAAATTTAAAATGAAATTAAAATTAAAGTAATAAAATTAAAATAAATCAAAAAGTAAGAGAGAGAAATAAAGAAAAACTTAGAATGAAAAAAGTATTATATTTCAAATTAAATTAACACGTGTCACACAATAATTGGTGTGTGATAACACTTGCCATTTAAAATTTGGAATTGATCGAAAAATGATATAATAATATATCTTTGAAATTGTTTAGGGATAATAGGACGCCTGCATAATTAAGATGTCTTTTTCAAAAATTCAGAATAACTTTAGACGTGACTTTATGTCTTTTCTCTTATATTTATTACATCCAAATTTAAATTTTGTTGTGCTTCACATTGTATATGTCCCAGTGTGGAATCGGATCCAAATTGGGGCCCCAACCTGTTTCGTCTGCGTGGTATATGTGGCCTTTCAGAGCTGTATATTACTGTCCCATGCACTATATATCTTGAGTGGAGAGTAAAACTCCTACCTTCTCTGTTTATACTTCCTCTCTTTTCTTAGCTCTTTTTGGCTTTAGTAGAAGATCGAGAGTTGGAGTTTGTTTCCCGCCAAAAACAACAAAGAAATTAATCTCTTTTTCTTTTTCCACTCATCAACTTGTTTCTCAAATCATTTGTATAATTGCAACTTTTTCCACACTAAACTTTTTATACTCTTTTTTGAGCAAGAAGATGAACTTATGATGATACTTTCTTAATTTTTTTGGTGATCTGTTTGCTTTCCGATCTTTTAAATCGAACTGTAATTTTAAGTTTTTGGTATACCATGACGGAAAATTCAGTTCCGTTGATTAAATTCACTCAACACATAGTAACTACAAACAAGCATGTTTTTTCTGAGCACAGTGAAAAATCCAATTCAGAGTTACAGAGAGTTGTGAGGATTATACTTACAGATGCCGATGCTACAGATTCTTCCGATGATGAAGGCCGGAATACTGTACGGAGAGTGAAGAGGCACGTGACGGAGATCAACCTCATGCCGTCTCCCAAATCGATCGGCGACAGAAAACGAAGATCGGTTTCGCCGGATTCTGACGTCACTCGTCGGAAAAAGTTTAGAGGCGTTCGTCAAAGGCCGTGGGGTCGTTGGGCAGCAGAGATTCGGGACCCGACCCGTGGAAAACGGGTGTGGTTGGGAACTTATGATACCCCAGAAGAAGCAGCAATCGTTTACGATAAAGCTGCAGTTAAGCTCAAAGGTCCTGACGCCGTTACCAATTTTCCGGTATCAACAACGGCGGAGGTAACGGTAACGGTAACGGAAACTGAAACGGAGTCTGTTGCCGACGGTGGAGATAAAAGCGAAAACGACGTCGCTTTGTCACCCACCTCAGTCCTCTGTAACGATGATTTTGCGCCGTTTGATAATCTAGGGTTCTGCGAAGTGGACGCTTTTGGTTTCGACGTTGATTCACTTTTCCGGCTGCCGGATTTTGCTATGACGGAGAAATACTACGGCGAAGAATTCGGCGAGTTTGACTTTGACGATTTTGCCCTTGAAGCTCGATAGTGTACGAGGGGCTATTTCATCTATTTTTGCAAATGGGTTCACACTGGTTAGTTGACTGGTGACGTGGTATTT